GAGTTCTAGGCTAGCTGGGGCTACAGGGAGAACTTGTCTCAAAAACACCAAAAGAAAAATGATTCCTTCATTTATATCAACCAGTCTAAAGATCCAGAGGGCTTTCATGTGTTTTATTATTTGGTTCAGGACCTGGTGTTTAGTCTTCCATCTTATTGGATTACACTCCAATATTAAACCAATCTAAATTGAATATTATTGTGGACATAAAATAGTTATGAAAAGATATTGTTTGGGAGATGAACTAGTCACGAAACTTGTCATCAAGAGCAAGATTTATGTCTTTTATACATGCTTCCTGTGTTTTAGACTTAGAATTTGATATGATCCTTATAGATAGTGAATGCTTAATTAATCCTTGATGAAAATTTAATTCACAAAAATTAACCACAAATGAAATTAGCTTGACTATACATTTGGCATAAAAATTCATTATCTCTCTGAAGAGTTCTTTTAGCTAAACTGTATTTTTCCATCCTTATTTGAATATGGTGAAAACTTGGAAAATGGAAAATTCCAGACCTTAAGAATGTGTTTTTTTAAAAAGTCATTTCATTCATAAAATCATGTACTTTTAGTAATGTCAGTTAAAAATGTATTGTTACTAGCATGTTCTACAAGTTCTTATATTATACATGGTATAGATTTAAACTGGGCATAGTGGCATACAACTGTAATCCCAGCCCTGGGGAGGCTGAGGCAGGAAGATCTTGAGCTTGAGGTCAGTCTAGAATCCCTAGTGAGACTCTGTCTCAAAAAAAGAAAACCTCAAAGCATAACACACTAGCAGTGATTGTGGAGGTAAATGATGATAATGAAGCTCTCCATAATATTTCTCATATATAGCATTTTGATTTATTCATTCTGGTATAGTAGGTACAGTGCTGAGCACCATCTTATGCCCTTGCCCTCCTTTGAGGCACCTATGGAACTTTGCTTACTTAAGGGTCTTTGGTCTTTGTTTTGTTTGTCTTTCTTTCTTTCTTTCTTTCTTTCTTTCTTTCTTTCTTTCTTTCTTTCTTCTTTTTCTTTCTTTTCTTTTTCCGTTCTCTCCTTCCTTCTTTCCTTTCTTCCCTTTTTATTTTTTTTAAATGGTGTCTCCCTATAGCCCAGCTGGCCTGGAACTCTCTATGTAGACCAGGCTGACCTCAGTGGCCTCAATCTCACAGAGATCTGCCTGCTTCTGCCTCCTGAGGGCTGGAATTAAAGGTATGTGCCACCATACCAGGGTGGTCTTTCTTTTCTTAAATTCCAGGTAAGAATCTTTTTGTTTGTTTGCTTGTTTGGTTGATGTTGTTTTTTGAGAGGTTCAGGCTGACTTTGTACTCACCATGTAACCTAGGCTGACCTCAAACTCAAAGCAACCTTCCTGCTTCAGCCTCTTGAATAGTGGGATTACAGGATGGGCCACTATTTCCAGCATCTCTAGATAAGAATCTGTGACACTCAAGTCTCTTGCAATGCAGGGCACTAGCTTCTTTGTAATGTTGTGCTAATAGCAGCTTGTTTATTGAATGTTTATTACACAATATGGTTGTTTTTGTTTTTTCTAGCAGAGTCTTAGTGTACTGCCCTG